AACGGATATGAAACAGGAATTGGTTATTTAAGGCTTAATTGTGAAAATTGGAATTAGCAGTGCTTTTTTCCTTCGCTACCCGACTCTGTTCTGGCTCTTTCGTGCTGTGGCCCCTCCCGGCCCCCCCCCCCAAAAAAAAAAAAAAGAAGAATGAACGAAATGAAATGAGGAATAAAATGAAACGAAACGAAATTAAAGAATGAAGGGAAATTAAATAATAAATAGAAGATACTTTCGCGCTGTAGTCCCTCCGGCCCCCTCCAAAAAAAAAAAAAAAAAAAAAAGAGGAAAATATTTGAGGATAAATAATTGTAGTTGTAATTGAAGTGAGCTGCTTGGGGACGTGCTTACTGACTTGGAGGGCCTTGCTTGGTAACTTGCTCCCCGACTCTCGATGCAAAAAAAAAAAAAAAAAAAAAAAATCGCTTTATTATTATTATTTTTTTTTTTTAATGCGCTACACCTTAGCGTGAGCCATCTCTCAAATCGCGGTGTGTCACGCACATGCCCGATCCTCGTTAAAGCTTCGTCACGTGACCGTTATATACCGTTATCAAATGTAATCTATTATCATATAATCTATTATCATGTAATCTATTATCATGTAATATGTTTAGCGCCTATGAAGAGCTAGAGCCGCAGCTGGCACTACTCCCATAGTGTATTTTCATCGAATCAATAAATAGATCCGAGCGAGAATAATGATCAGCCATCCGCATACCGTCTCTATGAATAATCCTGAAGAATTTCGTTATTTTATCGGAAATGGAGTTGAAAAAGATGAATATAAGGCATTTATCCAATTTGTAAAAACAGCTGGTGTGGTTCATACGTACCACTGGAATGTATTATTTTTGTCGTTGTTATCAAGGTAGAATTGGAATAGAGAAAGATTATCGTAAGGCATACATTCATTATCAAAAATCCGCAGAGTAATGCTGAGGGAACATTTAATATTGGTGTTTCAAATCGGAATCGAAAAGGATGATTGAATTGGAATTGAGAATGGAAAAAACAAATATGAAAAAATAAGATAACTTATGCAAAATATAGATGAATGGTACAGAATTAGTTGTTGCAAGCACGGGAGAAAGAGATACAGAGATCGAAAAAAAGAAGATATTTTCAAGAACAAAACAAATACTGGCCACTTTAGCTAATGTGAAAGATTATTGGAAAGATGCGTATGTTGATAGCAATGATACTGGTAATAGTAACAGTAATAGTAATAATAATAATGAATAGCACGTTCATTTTGAGAATTTTCTAAATAAAGTTTAAAGCTACAAAAAATATTTTTTATTAATTATAATCCATCCAGTTCATTGACATTATTGTGCATAGCTAGTAAAATATTAAAACTAAAAGATAAAAAAAAAAGAGAATTTATAAATTTTATTATTTAGTAATAGTTTAAAAAGTTTTAATAAACCTAACATTAAATTTTACAAATATATACAACATACAGTATATAAAATTTATATTAAATAAAATCAACTTTCAATACAAATATTACTAAAGTATTATTTTTTGGTTAACGTCTGGAACCGGTTATCGTAATCGAATTTATAACTCAAAGTTCTCATAGATTGAAATCCTAGATATTTGAACACTTCCAAGTTCTCATAGGATTACCAGTCACACAAATTTTAGGTAATATTTGCATTTTTTTGATACGTAAAGTATTCTTTCTGGCTTTTTCGGCAGCTTTTTAATACATTTGAATGCTTTATATTTAGTATATTTAGCTTTTTCAATATCAACATCAGCTCCTGTTTGTTTTATGATCACAACATAAAAAGCAGTGTCCCGAATTGGATCACATCTTTCGTGGTAACTCATTATAGCGTTTTGCAAAAAGGTGTGTGACCGTGATTTTGTAATGTATGATAGCAGAAAGTTTTTGTGATTTAAAAATTGCCTATCAAACATATTTTTAAATTCAATAATCTAATTTATTCAAAATCTTTAAGTTTGCAAGAATCAAAAAAAAAAATTGCAAATCTGCCAAAATTTTACGTACCGTAAATCACCGCATAAAGATCCAAAATAGTAGACCTACGGGCTTTTATTAATCAAAATGCAGGTTGCGGATTTTTTTAGCTCACATAGTGTCGCCTAGCAAAAATGGTAGCGAATCATTTTCAGACAATCCCTAAATCCGAATCTTTATTGCCGGTAATACATATGCTAAATAATTTTTTCGGATATTAATTATATTTGTATGACATTCGATTTATATAAATCATTAGCAATTGGGCCAAATAATGCATTCTTATTCCCCGGTCTTATTATGCTTCACTACTATTTTTTCGCGCCTATTGCCTGGATCTCAAATCCAGATTGATTCAGAGTATTATATTCTTTAATCACATGATGTAACGAATTTTTTAAGCTATTCGAGTTACAGTACTAATAAAGAATAATGATTGCTGGCTAATATAAAAGGAAGAAAATGAAAAAAAAAATCTTACAACCGTAGAAAAGCCAAACTTTATAAGAACATGAATTACCCGCGAAGTGGACAATAAACAAGTAATAATTTGCATAATTATTTTCATAGTAAATGCTTTATATAATCGAATGTCATACAAATATAATTAATATCCGAAAAAATTATTTAGCATATGTATTACCGGCAATAAAGATTCGGATTTAGGGATTGTCTGAAAATGATTCGCTACCATTTTTGCTAGGCGACACTATGTGAGCTAAAAAAATCCGCAACCTGCATTTTGATTAATAAAAGCCCGTAGGTCTACTATTTTGGATCTTTATGCGGTGATTTACGGTACGTAAAATTTTGGCAGATTTGCAATTTTTTTTTTTGATTCTTGCAAACTTAAAGATTTTGAATAAATTAGATTATTGAATTTAAAAATATGTTTGATAGGCAATTTTTAAATCACAAAAACTTTCTGCTATCATACATTACAAAATCACGGTCACACACCTTTTTGCAAAACGCTATAATGAGTTACCACGAAAGATGTGATCCAATTCGGGACACTGCTTTTTATGTTGTGATCATAAAACAAACAGGAGCTGATGTTGATATTGAAAAAGCTAAATATACTAAATATAAAGCATTCAAATGTATTAAAAAGCTGCCGAAAAAGCCAGAAAGAATACTTTACGTATCAAAAAAATGCAAATATTACCTAAAATTTGTGTGACTGGTAATCCTATGAGAACTTGGAAGTGTTCAAATATCTAGGATTTCAATCTATGAGAACTTTGAGTTATAAATTCGATTACGATAACCGGTTCCAGACGTTAACCAAAAAATAATACTTTAGTAATATTTGTATTGAAAGTTGATTTTATTTAATATAAATTTTATATACTGTATGTTGTATATATTTGTAAAATTTAATGTTAGGTTTATTAAAACTTTTTAAACTATTACTAAATAATAAAATTTATAAATTCTCTTTTTTTTTTATCTTTTAGTTTTAATATTTTACTAGCTATGCACAATAATGTCAATGAACTGGATGGATTATAATTAATAAAAAATATTTTTTGTAGCTTTAAACTTTATTTAGAAAATTCTCAAAATGAACGTGCTATTCATTATTATTATTACTATTACTGTTACTATTACCAGTATCATTGCTATCAACATACGCATCTTTCCAATAATCTTTCACATTAGCTAAAGTGGCCAGTATTTGTTTTGTTCTTGAAAATATCTTCTTTTTTTCGATCTCTGTATCTCTTTCTCCCGTGCTTGCAACAACTAATTCTGTACCATTCATCTATATTTTGCATAAGTTATCTTATTTTTTCATATTTGTTTTTTCCATTCTCAATTCCAATTCAATCATCCTTTTCGATTCCGATTTGAAACACCAATATTAAATGTTCCCTCAGCATTACTCTGCGGATTTTTGATAATGAATGTATGCCTTACGATAATCTTTCTCTATTCCAATTCTACCTTGATAACAACGACAAAAATAATACATTCCAGTGGTACGTATGAACCACACCAGCTGTTTTTACAAATTGGATAAATGCCTTATATTCATCTTTTTCAACTCCATTTCCGATAAAATAACGAAATTCTTCAGGATTATTCATAGAGACGGTATGCGGATGGCTGATCATTATTCTCGCTCGGATCTATTTATTGATTCGATGAAAATACACTATGGGAGTAGTGCCAGCTGCGGCTCTAGCTCTTCATAGGCGCTAAACATATTACATGATAATAGATTACATGATAATAGATTATATGATAATAGATTACATTTGATAACGGTATATAACGGTCACGTGACGAAGCTTTAACGAGGATCGGGCATGTGCGTGACACACCGCGATTTGAGAGATGGCTCACGCTAAGGTGTAGCGCATTAAAAAAAAAAAATAATAATAATAAAGCGATTTTTTTTTTTTTTTTTTTTTTTTGCATCGAGAGTCGGGGAGCAAGTTACCAAGCAAGGCCCTCCAAGTCAGTAAGCACGTCCCCAAGCAGCTCACTTCAATTACAACTACAATTATTTATCCTCAAATATTTTCCTCTTTTTTTTTTTTTTTTTTTTTTGGAGGGGGCCGGAGGGACTACAGCGCGAAAGTATCTTCTATTTATTATTTAATTTCCCTTCATTCTTTAATTTCGTTTCGTTTCATTTTATTCCTCATTTCATTTCGTTCATTCTTCTTTTTTTTTTTTTTGGGGGGGGGGGCCGGGAGGGGCCACAGCACGAAAGAGCCAGAACAGAGTCGGGTAGCGAAGGAAAAAAGCACTGCTAATTCCAATTTTCACAATTAAGCCTTAAATAACCAATTCCTGTTTCATATCCGTT